TTGACCTCTAAGTGGATCTTTATTCATCCGCAGTCTTAGTGACTCCTTCGAAGAACTCCAGTAGATCCGGGAAGCCTTACTTTCCTCTGTGTGAACTGTTCTTACTCTTCTTTGGTATATAGCATTTTCCGATTCCATGCTTCAGCTTGTTAGCCTTTATAGCTTCTACCAATTTGCTGTGTGCTGGTGTTAGATTTGATGGGCTACTGTTTATTGGATTCCCCCTAGAACCCTGTAGAAAGTTATGTTCACCATTGCTACTTCTGCTTTGACATTAGCCCTAAAGGAGCAGCTTCAACTTGGCAGCTCTGTGCCTGCATAGATTAATTTGCAAGATTTGGCCTGATTTAACTGTCTTCCATGGTTAACTATGAAAAAACTTTACATCGAGTAAGAGTACATTGGTTATTGTGGTTGTATTCAGATTCTCTAGTACCTTTTGACATCTGTGTAATTCCTTCCCTTTATCTCTGTTGTTGTATCAGTTGTTTACACTTCTGTTTTGACTTGCATCTTGAAAGAAATTACTTTAAAGTGTCAAACTCTTAGACCAAATGCACATTTTCTGATAAAAACAAACTTAAACAATTGAAGAATTTCATTTTAAGATGCAAAATATAATATGTTTAATGCTGCAGCAACTGTGCAGATACAATATTGTTCCTTTCTTAGAGGTGTCAGTCCCTGAAAATTCTCCTACTAATACTTTCTTTGCAACCATGAAATTTAGAGCAATCTTAGACTCTCTCTTGGTATGTTTTACTAATCAAATGCAGAAGTTGATAAATGTTCAAATCCTCACTGCACTTTGAGTCTAGTTAATGCTAATTAAAAAGAATCATGAGAAATGGAGGATTAGTTCTTGTGCCAGATCGGGGATTATTAGTCTTTAAAAGAAATAGCTTGGAAAGGTTCACTATTTAATAAATATGTGACATACTGAAGTACCGTAGTCCATATGATACTGATTACAGTATAAGTGTTTCTTTAGGATGGCATATATCTTTTCCATTAAGAATGCAGAAGATACAGAATCTGCCAATAGCCATTCCAGTGTTTTGTTTTAAACTCTGGAAAAATTGATAAGGGGAATTCCTTGTCATAGGTTCTGCATGGTCAAACACTGCAGATCTTGTTGCAGCACTGAAATATTTTTCTTTTCCTTTTGATTTAAGGTGGAAGGAGAAGGGAGATTGAGTTCACTTTTTCATCAGACTTCTTAAAAATCTTACTCTCATGATGCAAAGAGCTGAAATATAACTTTTGAATATTACTTTTCTATCTTTGTTAATAGAATTATTACAGCTATTTTAGGACGCTTCATAGATTGCAAAATAATCTCAAATCTTGTAGTTAAAAATAGGTTTCTCATGACGATTCTTAGTGGACTTAATGATTGAACAGATCTGTACTCTGCATTCTGCAGTTTTTTAATATCCTGCAATAGGTCCCTTAAAAATGAGCTTATATTTTTAAATGTGAGATTTTTACTAAACAAAGCCCTGAAACATAATAAAACATATGAAGTGGCCTGCTTTTCTTATATCAGCTGATACTAAAGCAGGTAATAAATTGGATGTATGAAATAAATGCCAGGTAAAGCTGCTGTAGAATTGGTGGGAGTCTGCCTTATAAAATAACTATTTTTGTTTGGTAAAGTGGTTGATAGTGTTGGCAGTGGTTCTGTGCACTAAAATATTTTGTTTAATTTGATGGAAATAAAGAAAAATTGATGCTGTGTGTAAATTGTCATTAGTTACGCTCAGTAAGCATAGTGAGTGTGAGCTTCCGCTCACTGAAGAGGAAGCTGATACACAGAGGGAGCTAGATGAGGGCTCAGGGACAATATAAATCACAATAAAAAGTAGAAGTTTACAGCACACAAAACATCCCATGTCTTGGTTTTAGTGCAAGCCTTTTCATACATGTTTTTCTTAAAGCATTGACTACTGGAGTCACGTTTTTATTAAAAAAAAAACCCCAACTTTAACTGATATTCTTCATAATTCAAAGAAAAGCTGGAAAGTTGGATGGGAGAGTAGTCTGAGAATACAGATAAAAACAATAGTGGTTTGTTTTAATTTCTTTATTTTTTAGTCTGTCTTATCACTCCTGGAAATCACAGATCTGAATACTTCAGACCTACTGAACACCTATGTGTATGTCTCTTGGCAATGCATTCAAAATATGTGTGTTGTAATTTTATTTATGTGATTGAAAAATGGTAGTATTTACCTAAAAAAACACACCCTACATCCTCATTATTTGATTGCATTAGATGATGTGTTTGTTATAGGCAAACATCAGTTTATATTTGTGACTAGAGATAGTTGTAGCTTTTCATAAACTCATGTCTTGAGGTTACGGTGATTTATGTTATTTGGGAGTGCTGTGGTTAAGAAATGAAGCAACCATGGAGAAAATCTGTTTCCAGACTCTCTTGGAGGACTGAGTTGCATGCGATTGAATGAGTTGCATTAGAAATGAAAGAGGAGGGTAACTTATGTCGACTGTTCCTGTTTGCCATTGCAAATTAAGTTGTCAGAGGCATTGATTGATTTTATATATTAAACAGATGATTTCAGTTCTCAAGCAGTCAGTTTCGATCAGTTCAGTCTCTTGATTGTTTTTTCTTTAAATTTTGGAAATAACAGCTGAATTTTTAATCCAAAAGCTACATTTTAAAGTAGATAGTCTGCCACCTGCAAAAAAACTTGTCTCCATAAGCCGTAATTGCATGATATGCTCCTTTGGCTCTGCGCGCTGTTATCCCTGCTTTCCCTTCTTTCAGTTTTCGGGCTCAGTGAGCAGGTCACTGGGCTGTGTATAAATAATATCAGCCTTGGGTAGTGAGTTTAAGACTACCCTGGTGTTCCCACCATAGCAAGGGTGCTGACCTGCTTTATGAAATGCCTTGAGACCTCCTCATAAAATGAGATAGAGAGGAATGGCGTTGGTTGGTTGGCTGTTTTGTTTAGTGATAGCAGCAGTATGATAAGCATGTGGGATTATTCTTTTTATATTTTAAAAAGTTTAATTACACTATTATCTTTATTTTAGAAACTCAAAAATAAAATAAACAGTGTGTATTATTGTTATAGTGATAAATGTAGTCAGCCATTAAAATTTCCAGAGTCAGTTATGGCTTTTAGCCAAATGTCTCCCAGTCAAAGCATAATGATAAGTGTAACTTCACAGGTTGCAGTTTGACAAAGCAGCAGTGGAAAACAAAATGACTGTGGGTAAACCCACCACACTGCCTGTGTCCTAACTTGTCTCTTGGTCATTCTGATGAATTTTCTCTCTGCCTGTGCCTTGTGTTTAAGCAGAAGAGTGAAATATTTTTATTTACTTGAGTAATTTTCACTGAATTTTCATTGATTGTATGTTTGTGCGGGAGGTGAGGGGGATGAACTCAAAGGAAAGAATAAACCTACAGTTAGTGTTAAAAGCCTTTCTAGCTATGCTGGTTTGGTAGCTTGAACTAGTTTACTTAAATGGTACACTCTCTTACTGAAGCAATAAATTTGTTCAAATCATGATCAAAGGATAAGAAATTATTTAAGAGAATAGTTATGTTTAAAATACTGTAAAAATACAAGAACTCTTTCAGAGTATATGTGACTGTGATCTTAGGAAGGTACATCATGAAGAAACTCATTTCAGAACTGTCTTAAATTCAGAGATTAAACTCGTTTAATGTTTTGTTGAAGAGCTGTCCGTTCCCATGCTGTCAAGGCTTCCATAAGGTGACACCCAACTGTATAACCTCTTAAGATAGGAAATGATGACAGCTCTGAGGGGAATAAGCAGTGGGACTTCACTACCGGAAAAGTGTGCTTTTTTTTTTTTTTTTTTCTTTCTTCGTTGTCTCATGGAGAAATGGCATATAAGTGTGTGTGTACATGCAGACACATCACACACACCAGACTATCTGTCTTCTCGTGTCTGACTACAGCGGTTGTGATCACCCAGGAGAAGAGGGGCTATAGGCAAGGCAGGAAGCTGATGGCATTCATTCTTTGAGGCATGTTACGCTGGAATTTGGTTTTACTTTCCTTCTGTCAGGTTCGTGATCGGATGACTTTCAGCCTGGCTATGGTATAATGCTGTTTGCTCCAAACTCTGTCAGACTGCTGGGAAGATGTCCGTTGTTTTGAATTACATCTCAAGGGTGTCTTGATGCACAACTCCTAGAGGTCTGAAAACAGCTTTTAGAGGACTGTAACCAACATACTTAAAAAGCTGGAATATTGAAGTACAGAATAAACAACTATTAAAATTCTGTGTATCTTTTCTCCTGGTGGTCTGTAGCAACTTTTATGGAGTTCAAAAATTTAAATATGTTATAATTCTTATAACTCATTTTTATATTGTTTATGTTGAAATACATTTTCCACCCACATATTGAAGTACTGCCCAATTTTGCCATTGAAATAGCTATTTTTTCTTCCCTTTACATTGAAGAGTCTACTTTGTGCTCCAAGAATGATGAGAAACTTGTTTATGAAATTGGTGTGTATTCAACATTAATTACAGATGACATTCAGCACGCCAACAAGAATCTTTAAAAATGGCTGAAAGCCATATTTGTGCAGTGGCAAGTGAGACGCATCTGTGGGATTCTCTAAGACTCAGTCTATATCTCTCCTCTATAGTCATGGATTCTGTGAATGACAAGGTGGGGGTCTTTGGAATGGTTGAAGATTAGCATCCCCTGCTGTTTTGTAATTATCAGAATCTGGACAATCATTTATTTGAATGAAATAATGCGTACAGTTTGTGCCTCCAAAGAAAAGCATACATAATGTGATTGTAAGAAGAGGTTTTCAGTCTCTCAGTGGGATGTCATAGGGTATGTTTATAAACTTCAACCTAGCAGTTGCTCTGCAGTGGAATTCCAATGGTGTTGAGATAATAATTTGCACAGTCAAATTGCTTTCTTTACAAAAACCCAGGGAATTATGAGACCCTAATCCTTTATTAATGTCAACCCATAGGCAGCAAGAAAGCGTAAGATTGCCATTCGAAAAGCCCAGGGGAAAAATCTTGAGGCCATCCGAGAGCTGAATGAATATCTGGAACAGTGAGTGTCTTACAAGAATACGGATTGTGTTTTGCTATTCTGATAAATCTTTTTAATTAAAATGGAATTTGCATTTCATTTACACTTTTGCTTCCATGCTGGTCATTTACAGAATCCCTTGCACATTCTTTTTTTTTTTTTTTTCCTTTTTTCCTCTCTTGTCTTCTCTATACAGATTTGTTGGAGACCAAGAAGCTTGGCATGAGCTTGCAGAACTTTACATCAATGAACATGAGTAAGTTGTTTACTAAGTCCACATAAAAACTGTTAAATTGAAACCTACTCTATGTCAACGACCTCAGTAATTTTTTTTGACAAACTAGTGTTAGAAAGTATGCTGTCTCGTTTCCAATATAACAAGCATCAACAGGAAATAATTACCAACCTTATTTGACTACCATATGCTTTAAGAAGATGTTTGATTTTAAACCAGAAACAGTTTACTTAATTATCTGTATGTTTCAGTAATTTTTTAAAATCTGATATTTTAAAAGTGGTTTGAGTGTAGCAGGGAACAGCACTTATTTCCCATAATTTTTCATTCAAGTGCTTTACTACTAAAATCAATCGATCATGACAAAACATTCTGATTTTCTTTTAGCCTACCTCTGTAAGAACTTTTAGTAACCTTTAAAAAACAAACCAAAACATGGATCCAGAGTTAGAGGCATCTGGTCGCCTGGGTACAAAACCCAATGCAATCAAGAATGCTGAATGTTGTAGTAACTTGCTTATTGGATATTTAATGTTTTTGTTAGCTTTTTTTTTTTTATTGCTGTAGTGACAGGAGGAAATCCCAGTGTGAGAGGATTAGCTCAAAGCCTTAGTGCAAGTTTTCTAATATCACAGCATTAATTCTAACCTCCACCCAAAGGCGTATCTTTTTTTCCCCTCCTCTTTAGTTCTTCAGCCCAGACTGAATTATGTCACATTGTTTCCTTCCTTCCTTTCTAGAGAGTAGTAAAAGAATCAAATTCTCAAGGGAGAAATAGCCATTCTCACTGTGATGAAAAAATTCTTCCCCCATCACCTCTCTTTCCACCCCATTCTCGAAGAAAATAATTATTAAACACTTTCAAATGCTGACTTAAGGAATAATCTAGAATTTTGGTATCCAGATTTCCATTTGTTTTGGGAAATTTACCAGCAACTTTTCCAAGAAAATAGCTATTTTTTAAAAAAAATAGTGAAGCTTTTCAAATTTGTCGGTACAAAAGTGAATGAGAGTGGTGCAAACATACATATTCCACTACTGGAGGGGTTTTTTTTGCTATAATCTTTATTACAAAATTGTGTGCTAAAACCTGAGAAAGAAATTGCTTTTGCTTCTATTTGCCTTGGTCTGTAATTCCAATAAAAAATGTCAAATGTTCTCCAGTTGATTGAAAAAAATTGACTGTGCTTACTGTACTTTTATGAGCATTGTTGTTATTATTTTGATGATTAAATGGGGAAAAAATCGAAATCTTTGCTAAACAACTAGAAGTTAATTTTAAAAAAAGGAAACAATTCATCAGCTTGCTTGTTTTATCAGTGTCACAAATTTAGTCTCGCTTGTGAAATCACCATGCTGTTACTGTTCATAAACACACGTAGCTGTACAAGGTTTATACAGTCCTCTGTTCAATTATGGGGACTGTGGCTTCTGCCTTTGGAGAATGAGGTGACTGTCCTTCTATCTCCAAATTAATATCTGAAATACGTACACGACTATCATCACGTGCACAGGAGAAAACCACAATATACTCATTTTAAGAAATAAGATTTTACAGATTGTATCGTTTAATATTGTCTCATAATTGCTAAATTGCTTTTACTCTGATATTAAATATCTACCCACGCTGTCATTATAAACATTGCGTCTCCTGAATTTTGGAATCCTGTAATGTAAACTCTGTGCAACAGCTCTATCGCATATCTGTAGAAGATGCAAATTCTGCAGGAAACTCTATTAGTTGAAAGATTATGAAGCTAAGATTATTTTTTTTTTTAATTAAATAAGCCTACATTTTGAGCTTGACTTCTTAATTCTTTCTGAAAGCTTTCCTTTAATGAACAAGTACTAGCCTTTTCTTTTGCAATGATAAGTTGTTGCCCATTTGGATTGGTATGATGCTATTTTCATATATAGATTTGAACTGTTTGATTTTTACAACTGTTTTTAGTATGGTTTTTCAATCTCATTTCTGTGGTTGACTGTGAGCAGTTAAAGTTAGCTGACAGTGGAGGTGTTCTGGTCTGTAGCTGGGTTTGTGAATCCTTCAATAGCTGAATTTTCTTGTACAAAAATATGAACTGTTTTGTAGTCTGAGTTCAAATGTCTTATAGTACCTAATACCTGTTTCTACTCATCACTCTTGTTGATCAGAAATAGCACTTGTGAATGAGTATATTAGATGCTTTCCGTGAGCTGTTCCATATATACCTAGATTATTAAATTTTGTATATTTTTCACTATCTATGATGTAAAAATAGTAACTTGAGGTTTCAAACAGCATTTAAAAATAAATCATTTTTCTTAATTGTGGATCAGATGAAGTTATAGGGGGAAAAGTAAGACTTCTTTTAATGTGCTGCAAAGAAACTGAAGCAAAGAACTGTATACTCTGTTTCATTTTGTCACTGTTTTTAAATATTCCTCAGCTATGCAAAGGCAGCCTTCTGCTTAGAGGAGCTTATGATGACTAATCCACACAACCACTTATACTGTCAGCAATATGCTGAAGTAAGTATTTTCAGAAAAATCAATTATATTTGAATACATACTCTGTTTTTCTGTTACTGAAGTGGTGAAAATGGAATAAAAATGGTTTCTTTAATTTTTCCCTAGGAGATTTAAGAGAGTACACAGAGAACATTAACATCTCATAGAACTTAACATGTTAAGAAAACTGTGTTTTCTTATTCAGTGTGACTAAGTTAAATATAAGAGTAAGGGCAGGAGTTATTGAAGATTACAGTTCATTTTAAATGAGCTATTCTTGTTGAAGTGTTTATGCGCTTTTCAAATTAAGTGCATGAGAAGTTAAAGTTTTCCCCAACAATGCTGCCTCGGAGGTTGTGATATATTGCCTGTTATTGTGGAGCCAGATCTTGGAAACCACATAGGAAATTTTGCCTGAAAGAGTGCTGGGGGGGAGAGAGGGCCTTTAGAAGTTTTAGCTCAAGGTTGTTAGCCATTTGCACTCTTTTTCCAGATGTATATTATTTTTTCCCCAAATTATACTGTTAACTGCTTAGAATTGATTTAATTAATTTTGTTAATGTGACTAAAGCTGTGTTAACATTAAAACTTGAAAGTCTAAGTAGCTTTCTGGTAGAAAGACTGTGAAACATGTCTTCTAGTATTTATCCCTCTTTTTGTTGATATAACAACAGGCAAAATGAATAGAAAAACAATGGAGTAATCTTCTAAACTTTGTGCACTATGTTGCAGTTGAATAGATAATGAAAGGCACTGTGTCTGTTTGTGTATGGATGTAATGCTGTGCCGAAGGAATATACAGTTCGTATGGATTTATAGCACTCAGAATTTAGCTTTAGATTTAAAGTTTGTGTTACTTTTCATAAGAGACTGTCCCAAGGTTGTAAGTATGTATAAGTGCAAAATAATCACTTTTTATTCTTGTATCAATAAATTACTTAAATTAATGCTGGCTTTTTTTTTCCTGCTATAGTTAAATATTTTAAAATTTTTACATTGAAAAGAGCTCGGATTTCTCCCAAGCTAGTATTTGGCCTCTGGTAGGATTCACCTGATTTGAAATATCATGTGAAACAAACCTGAAGTGAAGTTTCGTAGTATCTTCACTTCAATAGTGAATGCCTAATGTATGGATGACGTGCGAGTTTCAGGACCTTATAACTTTTTACAGGTTAAATACACTCAAGGGGGGCTTGAAAACCTTGAGCTATCACGAAAATATTTTGCACAAGCACTGAAGCTTAACAACAGAAATATGAGAGCTTTGTTTGGACTTTACATGGTAAGCATGATTATATATTTTCCATATTATCATTTTGAATGTGTTTTTATGCATGTGTATTATCCTTTACCATTTGCTGGGTTTTTTTTTTTCTTTTCTTTTGGTTTAACTTAATAGCTCAGATTATTAATACTATTTTTAAGTACTGAGAATGGACAATTTTATGCCAGCAAGTACTTCTTACTTGAAGTGCTCTTAACCTTTAAATCTTGCCCATGTTTTCCAAAGGATTATAGTTATTGACACATGAAGGTAACTTCTTGAAAAAGGATTTAAAGTCATACTCTACTCTGCAGAAAGGTGAACTGCTGAAGAGTACCAGCACAGTATGATGGCTTCTTTTCTCGTTTTCTTTTTTCTTTCCCTCCCCTTTTCCTTTCTCTGTTGGGTTTTTTGCTTTGTTTTTTCTCACTCCAGTTTCTAAATACAATTTTTGACTTTCAATGTCAAGATGAAGTGTTTAGCTTGCACAGCATTGTTGGCTTGGGTGTGGCTGGGACTACAGTAACTATGGGTAGAATGTACTGGTAGTTCTTCAGTTTCTCCAAAGATATTGAGGCCTCTATGGAAGATCTTCCTTTAGATCTTAGATCTTTTAAAAGATCTTTCTAGCAACAAACCCAGAAAGGTTCCATATATTTTATTTAAAAAAAATCTAGGCCACCTTTTTGTCTCTTGGGAGGGGGGCAGTTTGCAGAGACGCATCATGCAGATAACTTTGAGGCTTCCTATAAAGACCAGGCAATAGGAGCTTCCTTTCAAGGGCTTGTTGCATCACCTTTAAGACTCAAAGAGACGTGGACCTCATCTTCTTAGCCCATCTGCAGAGATTCTTGGGTTGATGATTTTATGCTCAAGAAGGAAAGACGACTGGCCCCTTGCTGGTTCTCAGGTCATTCAGCTTTTTGGGAGTAAGTTTTGTAGCAAATCTATTTATTGACCTAAACTGACTTTTAAGGTGTGTATATCTGTAGACTTCTGCATTGATTCTAGAACAGTCTTGGGTGTTCATTATGGCCAGTTTTGGCTTGTCCTCTGTGAGGTCTTACATCCTGCCTGTTACTTTCTGTCTGTAAAGTAGATTTAGAGCCTGTTATCTGTGATGATCTGGCTGGCAACCTTGAGCTAATATGACCCAAGTATTTGAGAAATTTGCGTGTTTTGGCAGTGCCTGAAAGTCATATGCATAAATCCTGATTTGCATAATGCAAGTTCATTACTTCAAAAAATGTGTGTACACTCTGGTAGTCTGTTTCAGTTCTTCAGTTTTGCTTGGCTGGCTGCTGTCACATTTCTCTGGGTGGTTTTTGCAAGCACAGCTTGGCATCGCTGCTTCTGTATCTACCCTGTGGCTCCTAATTTCTTTGTAATGCTGTTTCCAGGCTTTAGGATCTGGTTTTGCTGTGGCTGCTGCTTTTGTACTTGACAGACATACCCAGCGTTTGTAGTCCCCAAAGAATGTCCATAACCCCAGTAAATTCTCCACAAAGGCTTTCAGCCATCTCTGCTGAAGAAACTGGTCATCATCGAATTCAGGAAACGAGAGAGAATGATGCCTCACTTCAGGACCCTGACCCTATCCTAGATCACAAATTCAATTCATGCAGGCATGGCTTCAGAGGAAGTGTTCCTGAGTTTGTGGAGGCTGCTGCTTTGGCAATCCCACTCCTCTCCCGTTTCTGGAGGTAGTTTCAGGGCAGTAGCTGTAAGGGAACATTCTTTGAGTTTGAAATGTAGTATTCACGCAGGCATTTGCTTCAGTGCTCCTTTTTAAAATCTGTGGACATTCTTCATTGATGGGTGAGAGTAGGCTCTTTGTGGCTCTTTGCATTCAAGTACTTTTGCACTCAGAAAGACGTTCTAGGGAGGGAGTAGCAATGATTCCTTGTGAAGTGGATTTATTTATGTAAGTGGAAAGGTCTCTGAGATGAGTTTGGTTCTTAAGTAATCTTTTTTGTTTTTTCAGGTGAAGATGGACATAGTTTATGTAGAGTCTTACCCGCTTTTAAAATGTGTTTTCTGATGCCACAGGGAAAAATGTCATGTTTTTAATGGCAGTCTGGACACACAAGTGATATATTTCATATCATCTCTGATAACAAATTGAATGGGGAGAACTAATTCATAACTCTGTCTTTAGGAAAAGCAGATTGGATTAACTGGTCATGTCCAGGTTTGGTTCCTAACTCGGTACACAGCTGAACTGAAGTCTAGTTTAGCTTTAGTTAGAACAAACAAGTGTTTAAAAAGTTTAGCTAATTCTTAATTGGATGCTTTTTATCAGTAACTGTTTTTATTATTTTTTCTCTTTATCCTCCATCACTGTGTGCGGGACTCTGAATGCAAAGATGATGAATGCTCTCAGTTTATTTCATGCACATATATTTTATAGTTACACTGTTTTTATTTTTGTGTTCCTAGTCTGCCAGCCATATTGCTTCCAATCCAAAAGCAAGTGCAAAAATGAAAAAAGATAATATGAAATATGCCAGCTGGGCAGCTAACCAAATAAACAGAGCATACCAGGTTAGTACATCATTGTTTTATGATACTCTTAAGATGCTCTGTAGTTCTTTTCTGCGCTTTATATCAACTGGTGTTCAAGAGGTTAGCTATGACATGTAAAACAACATAATTTGCTTGGATTTTTTGCCTTCTACTTCTGTTTAATATCTTGGAAGCCTTAATTAATAGAAAGTTGATATTTTGCATTTATTAATTACTATTATTATTAGCTTTAAATAGTTTTTTTCTAACATTAACTGAATGTACACTAGTGTGATGTTGACCTCCAAGACTCAGTTCTACAGCTAAGTATTTTAATAAAACTTTGTATTTCTGAATTCTTAGAGTCACTTGCTCATCTACTTCTGTCTTATTAGAAAACAAAAGAAAATTTTAGAATTTTATTTTCCTTCAGTCTATCCTGACCTTTCAAAATCATAGTTAATAGTGTTCGTAATAATTACCTTAGAAATTGTGACTGAAGTTGGTTTTGTGTAGTTTTATGGAAAAATGCCTGTTGAACTGTGAAAACGTAGACTTTGTAAGCCACAGTCAAAGCTTAGTGAAGTCAGTAGGAGTCTTTTCAGCTATTGGAAAAGTTATGCATAAACATCTGTATTTGCTTTGGTATTATAAGCCTCTGTATTTTTTCTATAACTATGAATGAAAACATGTTTTAGCACATAGGTTGTGTCTGCTGCCCATGCATCCCAAACATAGTATGTCTGACTCCCTTATAGCTATTATTAATGATCTACCAATCAAAGTTTATGTATAAGTAATCCTGAATATCAACATCATACTGTCCAGTTCTCCCCAGAACTTTTTCTGAGCAAAAATATTGCTATTAAATGCAAAGACTTTATATACATGTAACACTCCTTTCTCTCTGTAATATTTCAGTGTCAGAACATAATATGTAATTTTTCTCTTGCTGCTGCTGTTTCAGTTAATACTACCAAATGGCCTTTTGACCAGCTCCATCTATTATGGAATTGTTAGGATTTTCTTCTGTGGCCAGTGCAGTTTTCTTAGTACACTGTTATGTCAATTCATTGCCAAGAGCGCAGCTTCTTGTGGCTGACGTGTTTTTGATGTATTACAACTTTGAAGTATTTTCCATTTCCCCTGATTGGCCCTGTAGCTTCTGACTGTACTTTACAGGAAAGAATACTGTATCCCTGAGGACATAATTAAGCATTTTATACCTGTGTGCCTAAAGTTTCTTTCTCTGTTTCGCTGTTTAAATGACTCCCTGCTTTTATTTAATAAACCATTTACGAATGGAGGTTGTGGTCAGTTCATCACATGTTGTCTCTGCCGCTCCTTCCTCCTCAGGGGGAGGACTCCTCACACTCTGCCCCTGCTCCAGTGTGGGGTCCCTCCCATGGGAGACAGTCCTCCATGAACTTCTCCAACCTGAGTCCTTCCCGCAGGCTGCAGTTCTTCACGAACTGCTCCAGCGTGGGTCCCTCCCATGGGGTGCAGACCTTCAGGAACAGACTGCTCCAGTGTGGGTCCCCCACAGGGTCACAAGTCCTGCCAGCAAACCTGCTCTGGCGTGGGCTCCTCTCTCCATGGGGCCACAGGTCCTGCCAGGAGCTTGCTCCAGTGTGGGCTTCCCATGGGGTCACAGCCTCCTTCAGGTGCCTCCACTTGCTCCAGCATGGGGTCCTCCACAGGCTGCAGGTGGAATCTCTGCTCCACCATCAACCTCCATGGGCTGCAGGGGGACAGCCTGCCTCACCATGGTCTTCTCCATGGGCTATAGGGGAATCTCTGCTCCAGCGCCTGGAGCACCTCCTGCCCCTCCTTCTGCACTGACCTTGGTGTCTGCAGAGCTGTTCCTCTCACATCTTCTCACTCCTCTATCTGGCTGCAATTGCTCCTGCTGGGTTTTTTTCCCCTTCTTAACTACGTTATCCCAGAGGCACTACCATGGTCACTGATGGGCTTGGCCTTGGCCAGCAGTGGGTCCCTCTTGGAGCTGGCTGGCATTGGCTCGATCGGTCGTAGCAGCTTCTCAGAGAAGCCACCCCTGTAGCCCCTCCACTACTAAAACCTTGCCATGCAAACCCATTACTTACTGGAAAGTGCAATTGCACTGTTTCTGCGAAGCTCTTTTGCAACCTATGTTAAGCGTTTTTGGTTGATGCGTACCAGAACAGATCACGTTAACACAGCTAACATCTATTTAAAACACATGTCATAACTTCTTTGTGACTTCATACTTTTGTGATGTGTTGCATACTTCAGCTGCTCTTTTAGCTGTTTGGGACATAAAGTGACGCACAGCACATCTGACTGGAATCACAGGGGGAATTAAGCTATACAGAGAGTCTAAGTGCTCAAGCTAGGATTTGGTGAGCAAATGGTGTGAACACTCCCTCTTTACAGAAGTGCCACAAGAAGCTCTAGTGACCACAGCTGGACAGGGCTGCCCCAGCCCAAGCCTACTGAGCTTATTACGTGACTGCAGAAGGGTTTGGCCACTCCAGTGTCTATGTCAGAGACTTAACATCCAACTCCTACAGCAAATGGTGTTTGGTGATGTAGTAGGTGGCAGTTTCCCCTATGAGTCAGTATTGATCTGTTGCTCCCTTAGTGTGCTGAGCGGTTGGAAATTGTCATCTTTTGGACCTAAGGATGAAACCTTGGTCGTTTTTGCCAGTGGAAGTCCTTACAGCGTTCCTCCGTTAGTAGAGTGTTGTCTAGCCAGGTTTTAAGCTAGATACTTATATTATCTCTATAAATCCTCCCCACTTTCCTTGCATTATCCAAAGTGCTTTTTAAAGCATAATAAGAGCCTTAAGAGCTTGTTGAGTTTGGCATTGACTTGTTTTATTAGTTGGACCTCCTTATACTATTAAATGCAATTTTTCCGGTAGGCATGTTCTAGAGGATAAGATGCATTTAGAATCCCGACTTAGGTGCCTAGACAAATTATATGAATTTGTGACTTTAATGAAATTATTAATTCAAACAGTTACTTTTGAGCAATTGTGTTACAGTGGGATATTTCCCTATTTTCAGTATGAATTTGAATTACCAGCAGTTTGCTCAGTAACTTTGGAAAACTGCCTTTATTTTTTCAAATTCAGCACTGGCCATAGTTGCATTTTTTTAATTTTATAGGCAATTTACTTGAAATATTTTTACTGATCCTCTGCTTTCGATTTATTCTCTCATTCAGGCAGTTTGCTTTGGCACTTGATTTTTGCTTTTCCTGTGCATTCCTGTATGAAATCAGAGGAACTTTTTATTGTCATTTAAAGAAAACAATCTTTGGGTGTAAATAGAAAACCTTACTTTCACCAATGTTGGTTAGGCTACAGCAGTTTCTTTACAGGAAAATACGGTGCTAAAGAATAGTTGAATTAAATAATTTTGTGACAAGTATAGATAATTTATGTTCCATCTGGTTAATATACTTATTTTGATGTTAAATATGTAACCCTCTGTGGTGATTAGTACTTCTCATCTGTGCCTAATCTAGGAGAAACGTAAACTTTCAAAGGAAGACAGAAAGGTTTTGTAGCTTAGGGCTGCTGCATGGAGCTGGAATTCCTGGCTGCTAACACATGCTCTGAAAAAAAAGGTCATTATTCTCTAGGCCATTTAAATTTGATTGACCAGGTGAAAAAAAAACCAAAAAAACAAATAAAATTTAATTTTAGTCTTTTATTTCAGATGTTAGAGAAGTAGTCATTATTCAGAGAATTATTGTAAGTTTAATATTATTATAAACGTAGTTTTGCCTTATCTCTGGGAAACTGGATTAGTCTCTCTGTGAAACCCTGTGAGGAACATTTCTGTTCTGACTGAGGACGTGAGCCACAGTTATTTTAACACCGAAACAAAATATGGCTACCCAGTGCTCTTCAATTAGGTAATTGGTTTAGCATGTCCTCTGGCAGAAGCGTTTCAGCAGAGGCAGGCAAGTTTGATTAATGCTCACAAAAATCTTTAATGTGATCCTACTCGTTGTAATTTTCCAGATACATGCTTCTTGGGCACATTGCTAAATTCTTCTGTGTTAGCAATCCACATGTTATTTAGGGCCGGAGAGGTGATTTTGTTACAAACCATTTGGGAAACAGAAAATTAAATCATGATTTTAAGAAATAGATTCCGGCTCAATCAGTCAAATTGCTGTGTAATGGCAGAATAGACAAAATAATTGTTCGTCAGGGCAAATTTGAAGTGATTACATTTCCAAGTATAGTTCTGTTTGTTATGACGCAGAGTTTGGTTTTATTTGTTCAGCTTAAAGTACACGTCAGTATCATGAAGGCAACTACTCTTGAAATTAGCAAGTAACATTTTTTAAACTAATGTCTTATGTCAGTTTTGTTTTCAGTGTCCCTGAAGAGAAGTAAAATAAGTAAAATACTTCTTATTTTGAAGATTTCCTCTGCGTGCTTTCTGTGTCTCTTGCCAAGCGTGATTTTTGACCACAGTATCTTCAGGCTTCTGTGTTTTTTATTGAAATCTCTGAATGCTTTGAATTAAACCAATTTTTCAGTCGAGGATTTTGAGTTCTGTTTTTTCATTTGCTTGTTTTTATGAAAGGATGTGCACTCCCCAAGTATCTGCTTGGGACTATGCTTGTTTAGTGTGAACAAAAAAAAGGATATTATATTAAGTCAGATCCAAGCAAAAGTTACATCTCTCACCTGGGAGAGTGTTAAGAAGTGTTTGATTTTCCTCTGAAGTTGACTGTTGCAGCTCATTATGGAAACTGCACAACCTGAAAAATGGGTTTATACATACTACTAGAGTCAAAAACTTGGCACATCAGTTCATCGCTGAATATCAAATATGAAAATATGGTGTTTTCAGTATCTCTCTTCACTGTAAAGTGTTGTCACAGTAACAACATTTCATTCTCCTAACTATTTAATTTGAAATAGCATTTCATTTACTGTGCCAAAACTGTTTTATTTAAGAATCAGGTACTGATTGGGAATCCCAGTGTTAGATTGTAGCCTGGGGGTCAAAAGCAGGTTAACAGGTCCTGCAGCTTGTTCCTGGTGTGATATTACCTGGGTTTGATGACTTAATCTTTCTTAACAGGTCATGAAGAGTTTGCTAAATTAAGTTAATTACAAGAGAGAAGGGACACATTATAAATCAAGGACTAACTATGCAAGACACCAGTGGTATTTGAAATAAAAAACATTAAATTGAAAATTTATTGAGTGTTTAGATGTTAACATATACGCAGAGAATAGGCTGTTTTACTAGCAGCAAGTTATAGTAACTGCTTCTGTAATTTCTTTACCACCTCTCCCAACCCCAAATGAAAAACTTTTTAGTGCAGGTGTATTAAAAATGGTTGAGAGTTTCATTCGACTGAAGACCAACCTTGTCAATAAATCCACTGTGTTAGATACGACTGATGAGTGATGGGAATCGTCAGTACAGTTAGAAAAACCCTTTTGAGGTCAGCGTAGGGTGATGAACATGTCCTACTCTTCTACCCCTTCCTTTCCCAAACTCAACTTCACGTGGCTTAGAGAATATAAAGCCATAAGTAGTATTTATTAAGCTGTATCTTTCTTTGTTATCAAGACAGACTTTATTTCAAATGCTCTCTGCAACTGCTGTTGTTATAGTAGGTTACAATCAAATACAAGGTCATTACTCACAGTTACTTTGAACCATAAAATATAATGATACGATGACTGAATTATTTTAGAGTAGATTTTCTCTGTCTCACTGTAACAGAAATAGAAAACAGATTAGGTTAAAGAACAGGTTCCAAGTCTTGCTACTATTTAAATTATGAATATAATCTAATTTGGATCACAAAAATTTCAAGTAAGTCTGAAGTAAAAATTATGTTCAACTTTACAGAGCAAGCAAACCAACAGGAACATCTCTGTTCAGATAAATGTTAAATTTCAAAGTAGAATATTTGTTAGTGCTGAATATTCAAATTCAGAGCAAATGAGTGAAATGAAGGAGTTGTTGTATTTTTCATTACGTATTAGTGGAAGGGTGATATAGCCCGTATTCTAGTAAAAATGCTGAGTTTTAGTGAAACAATAAAGAGACCGTGCTTTAGGCTTTGTAGTAATTAGAGTAAATTTTTGGTACTTAATGTTTAGAACCGTTATTTGTACAGGATCTATGCACAGAATTTCTGATACATGACAAATAACAATCTGTTGTTGTTGTTGTTTAGTTTGCAGGTCGCAGTAAGAAAGAAACTAAATACTCTTTGAAGGCAGTGGAAGACATGTTGGAGACCCTGCAAATAACTCAGTCTTAGGTTGGCGTAGAGATCCAATATTAAATTTTCCAATTCCATGATCAACCTGTAATGACCTATGGGTTAGGTTACTTCAGTGCTGTTAAAAGTTAATTTTGTATTGATTAACATGCTATTCAAAATAATGTTTTATGAAAAATAAAATGTCTATTTATTGCTGCTATGAAAAATGTGATAAATACCCACTGAAATGAATAACTTATCCACGAAGACAACGTAAAGAAATGACATGTGCTGCACATCAGTCTCTTTAGATTTTTCTATCAACAGTACCTGCTTTTAAGCCATAATTTGTAGAAATAAACTTGTTAAATGATTAAAAAAGATGACAGTGATTTATTTGACTTGTGATGGAAATTATGAATTTATATATGTAGGCAAATAACATGTTAGAAATGTTTATCTTATTTGCATATTTAAGAGTAATAGCGTGCTACAGATGTACACTTCCTGGTAAATATTTATCATACAGCAAGGAGTGATTATGAATACACTTTATTAGAGAAAAAAGTTGATGTTAATGGTTTTATTAATGAGTTGATATCTAGTACTGTAGAAATGAAGACATTTGTGTACTTTGCTTCAGAGGGGCTTTTGTACTGGCTTAAGGCCAAAGACGTTCTTCTCTGTGGCTTTGTGGGCAAATGCTTCCACGTCCATGTAGTTCTCCAATCAATCTATGCATATGCATTTTTAAAATTCCTTCTGTGTGTCCTTTGTTGTACACATGTTCCACATCATGAATTTCAAAACCGTCTGAATGCAGGGCTGCATGCTGGTCTGTGCTGATTTAGTACCTGCGTATGGGTCCCCCTTCACTGAGGTGTAAGCTACAGTATAGTTGCTTCTCCACAGTAACCAAGTATTAGGGCACTGTAAGGATGAGATAGATTGTTCAACTGCCTCGTACCTATCAGAGGATAGAAGTGTTTTTACACCATTAGCATAAAGCATCTAACACACTGTAAATATATATTGTACTTGTCTTTAGGCACTTGTTTGTGTACTCAAATAATTAGTCAAACACCCTAATTAATGAATTTTGCAGTTCTGATCATTCTGGATGTTGTTCAGATGTGCACTGTGGGAATTCAGTTGCACAGCTGTCATTTCATTTATTGTGGCTTCAGTACGGCTGCATAACAGCAGCAACATACCCTTGGCATATTCTAATAAAAATATTGCAATGCTATTTTCATGACTGTTACTGTCATGATTTGAGTTTCAGATTTTATACTGCCTACTCTATATAGATGGGTAGGTTAAAGGCTGTGTATTAACATGTCCTTTTTATGACCCTGGACTTGATCTAATAAAACAAAGCTGAGCTTCTGCTTAAAAACGAAGCAGCAACGAAAACTTCTGTTGTGAGTTCAAAGCTTGAAAATGTGTACAACTGAGCTGGTTGTTGCATGAGGCTGTGCCTTCAATAAACATGTAAGATCTCAGTCCTGTTATCCATGAAGTAGGTTGGAATATGATAGTGTGACAGGATGGGTGCTATGCCATGACAATTAATTGTATGTGGAATCTTAAATTAACTTAATTCTGTACTGTTGAGATATAAACCTGCAAATGCTGCATAGTATTATATTAAATCACCCAATTCTAATTTGGGGAAATAGGGCAGATCCTTTTATAATAGTAATTCACAAACTGGCCTCAGGACAGTATTTGCAGATAAGATCATGTGTGTCTCAGGTGGAAAACCAAGAAAATATCATAGGGGAACCTAGGTATTTCTGTTCAGATTTATAGTCTTTTACTGTATGAGTGTGCCATCTAGAGTTTTAAACCCTCATTAGTCTTTTTTTATTTTACCTACATCTCAAATAACTTGGTTGCATTCTAAAATTAAAAGTGGTGGGAAGCTGTACTGTAGACTAAAATTACTGAGTGGTGCATAACATCATACCTCCTGGTATTAAAACCCAGCAGTGGAGTATTCTTATGCAGCAGGCATCTGTGCTGTAGGAAAGTGTTGTACAGAATGTTTTATTCAGAGGCAACTTTTAACATAACAATGTCAGGCTCGGGCATGTAGTATACCAGTTTCTCTGTAAGGAAGTTTGTTCTGTTTCTTGTTTTCAGTGATTTGATGACAAATTTCATCTCATTTGGCTGCTTAGAGCCTTCTAGTTTTCACTACTGCTTAGCATCTTTTTGAAATTACTATTTAGCACTCTGATTTGTGCTTGTATTTTGGCATAATTCCCACATAGTAGAGCTTACAAATTGACCTAGCAAATATTTCTGACAAATTTGTATTTACTTCAAAGATAAATAAATTACCTCTATGAAAATGCATGGGCAGTCTTTGATAGAACTATTGAATTGCAGCAATGGAAATTCAGGGGGTTTTCCATATTCAAATGGAAAAAAAAAAAAAAAGAAAAAAATCCTGTGTCTGTAGAGGAAGTAACTCTATGAAATGCCCTGCAATCTCAGCAAGCAAAGGGTACAGAAGGGAAGCTGTGATATAATGTGATCTTTATAAAAGTAGTTTTCCAGTTCTAGTAAATGATCTTGTAATATGTCACTGACGCTGTCTAGCATTAAAGAATAGGTTTTCAAAGAGTGGGTTACTTAGTTAACGAATGAACTTGATTATATTCTGTATTGTGCTGACAGTGACAAATGCTACGCAAAAATATTATCAAGCATGCCATCTCCTCTTTCCAAAATAAAAGGCTATGTTTTCATATTGTTTCAGGCAGCAGCAAAAACTTGAGACCTTTGCAATGCCAAGCTGTGTAGTGATGACTCGTGTCTTTATGTTTTGCAGCCATACTTTGATAATAGACTTGGTAAGGAGAACTTAGTGTTACCTGTTGAAGAGGCAGCAAAACGTCAGATTCTGCCTTTATTATACATGTTACTGGTCACTTCTTAAAGACCTTTTGTCCAAATGTTATACAATTCATATTCTGTAGTTGCAAAAAGCACATCTTGTTTCGAATATATCCCTAAATCTCTTCAGTTCAGTGCCCAGAATATCTTGCAGTTGCTATTGGAAACTCTGTTATTAGTCAGTAGAGGACTTCCTCTTGGCAGCACTGTATTTGTGATGGCATCCACACTTGCTAGTCACTGCATATACAGTGGAACCTGTATTTCAGCCAGCTTTTGAAGGGAGGGGAAAAGGAAAGCAAATTAAACTTGACTTACTGGCATGAATTTGTTAGCTTCTTGTTACTTGCACCCTCATCTTCCAAGAACACCAACTGTAGTTGTAGTCAGGTTTGCAATAATAATTCTTCTTCTTGTAACTCAAGAGCTTCCATATATTCAGCTCTACAACCGACACTCCATTAAAATCTAAACCATATAGATTCCAGTGAAATGGCGTTATGTAACGTGCACGTACCCTGGTCTGCAGCGAGAGGACAGTTCTCCCACTCTCCACCAAGTCGATATCAGAGTGGAGGAGTGTTAGAACAGTTCTTTAATGCAGTTTTGTCTAGAAAACTAATACTGCTTAACACATCTCAAAATACTGCTTATTACTTCCATTGCTCAGTGCATGAATAGAATTTTAGGACTAATTATTGCTTAACTACAGATAGTTGAGTCTGTCTACATGGAGAATGAAGTACTTGAAATCAGTCATTGGTCTTGAATGGCTCTGCACCCTTACAGATCTGTATCCTCTTGACAGGCACCACCTGGAAGTTGGATTCAACCCAAAGACTAGTTTTCAGAAATAAATAGTCATTAATTTATTTTCTTGTGTGATGAGGAAATCCCCTGTATAAAGAAGTGCAGTCACCTTTTTAACGCTTTTTTAATGCCTCTCTAGAACGAACAAAGGCTGGAGAGTAGTACAAAGGCCTGTTGAACCTGTATGCCATAGTAGGACTTCCTATGGCATGTTGCAAAGAAGATGCTGTTCTTCTGCTCTTGGAACCCCATAGGTGAGCGCTCCTGGTGTGCAGGCACCACTGCAACTGAAAAGGGACCAGTGCAGCCCCGAGCCTGTGGAGCAGGCGCTCAGATACACGTGGTGAGAGACCCAGCACAGCACTGGGTCCCACCCAGCCCTTGGTAGGGCTGCACATGGGCATGAATCTGCTTACAGGTTTCTGCCCCTCCTAGGGACTGTCCTTTGTATTTTACTTTTCTCCCCTTGGCCTCTGACAGCAGGAATCTTGCAGGAGATCCGTGCCGATGTGGTACCCTACCTGGGTTTTGCTGGGGCTAGGCACGGAGGTGAGGGTACAGATGGGTCGGTTTGCTGGATTCATCGTGGACCCGTGAAGGTTTTGCACGTTCTTAGCTTCAGTGCACTCAGTTACTGGTGCACGCCTAAAAGTCAGCACGTAAGCTTTTGCCTGGGACTGAAAGGACATCAGAAAGCAGACCTGTCCTGTTAAACATCTGCCGTCTGCTTAGCTCCTTGGTGGTGCTGGACAAAGAATGTAAGAGAGTGGGCTTTATCCAAGCTGAACTATGTGCAAACGTATAGAAAGATCTATTCATGGTGTGACGGTGACCACAGTTCAGTGCTCCAGTCACTGGGCCTTTTTGTGCGTGTGTGTGAAAGAGCATGGAGGGAGGAACGGGAAAACATTTCCAGATGGGAGGCCTGTTATCCAAGGTCAAAGGGACGGCTGGAGGGAGGAAGAGCCACCTTTTCAGCGGGCGTGAGCCAGCATAGGTCCGGTAGTTCTCTTCCCTGTAGAGGATGACAAAACATGCTGTGTTTTGCGCTGTGTGCATGAGAGGTGTAAGACCCTGTTTAAAAAAAAACCTTGGAATTGTAGTGCAAAAATGTTTTTCTCCTCATCCCTATGTATTTTAACTGCTTTCAATGTGACCTCGTTGATGCTAGGGTTCCTCATGCTGTTTGGCTAGCACGTAGGCATCTGCCTCAGGGCTACCAGTGGAGGAAGACACATTTGGAGTGACTACTCACATGGGAAAAGTTCCTGATGGGCTTCCATCGTGGCAGGTCACGACCTATTTGCATCGGCAATAGGAGCACTACTTGTCCCACGGACGGTGCTCGCTTGAATAAAATTCCTCTTTGGATGAAGGCTAATTTTCCCTAAGGACTGAAGGATCTTTTCCCAAATTTATACTTTTTTTCTGCAGCAAGCTTTTAGGTTTTGGATATGGTGTCTGGACGTGAAACTTTAAACCAGGCAGATGTAATTCTCCTGGGAAGAGACTGCAAAAGTCAACACTGAGGCAGTTTCAAAAAAATGAGCAGCAAGTAAAATTAACCATTACTTCTGTTTATTTAGGTAATTGAGCTTGACACAGTGGTGTGTCTGACAAGTTGGTTTGTGTTTTTTATTCCATTAAATACAGATAAGACACTC